AAAAGCTTCCTAGGTAATTTTGATGTGCAGCCAGGATTAAAGACCGCTGTGTAAGAGAATCATTTAGTCAAACAAAGAGTAAACCCCATCATGTAGTAAAGGCTTATTACGGTGTTGTTTTCAGGGGACAAGACAAAGCCTGTGGCCAGGTCTGCCAGTTTTCTGCTCATTGTCCAGCATGGACCCTCAATGGCTCTCCTCCTTGGTGATTGCTCATACAGCTCTCTTATGAATCAGAGGGCATGAGGGCCTGCTTGCACCAGCCATCTCCTTGTTCCCCTGAGCTCCTACAACGGTGCTGGGTACTGAGTGGGTGCAGAGTAAGTATTTGCTAGGTGCTATGGTCGTTGTCCTCTGGGTCCTTCAGTGTTGATTAAAATGAGCTGTCTGTGGTTCTGGGTTCCTCCTCTTAATCCTATCCTGACCTTCAAGATACAAATTCTGCCCCTTTCAGCTCCCTTCTGAGGGGTAGAATTCAGCCAGTAGGGCCTGCTCGCTGTGGTTCCTTACACTGGATAACTCATCACTGTGTGTGCGTGAGACGGAATGCAGCCTGTAGCACACCAGACCCACAGAATAATGGGTTCTTGCTTTATTTCAACTTTGTGTTCTCTTTTCTTTCCGTCCCTTCCTCCCTCCCTTTTGTCTTTCTTTCCTTCTTCCCTTCCTTCCTTAATTTTCTCTTGTAATTCCCAGGCTCCCAGAAGACCACAGTAATCCAAGAAGCTCTGTCATTAAGAGTGAAAATGTGTCCAGTGCCTTGAAGTGGCCCCCTGTATTTAGAGGGGATGATTACCTTCTGCTCTCCTGGAACTGCTGATTTTACAGTGAAGATTTGCTGCCACAGAGAGAGCTGTGGGTAGAATAAAAAGTTATTGCTCTTACTGAAAATTTCTTTGATTTCCCCCACTTGTTGGAATAACCATGGGGGCCTGGCGATCCTCAGATGGAACATGGAGAGGCCAGAATAGAGGCTTTCATGCTGAGAAGAGACCAATCTTATGCCTTCGTTGGTAGAAGTCTGTTTATAGAAAACAAAAACAAAATAATGGTGATTTGGTACTTTCATCCAACAATATCCCAATAGAGAAGAAAAAGTTAGTAAAAATTGAACCGGGAACAGATAAATCATTAGTTTAAAAGGACCTGAATAGAAGCTCTTCCTGCTTTGTACCATTTTTTCTGCACATAGGAAAGCTCTGATTTCCTCCTCTTAAATGGAGAAAAATATTTTGCTCAAGGTTTGTGATTGGGAGTAGGGCTGGGGGACAGATCAGAGACAGCAGACGATAAATGCTTCTTTCCCCATCCTTAGGTGACGGGGACTTAAGAAAAAGTAGAATGTAGATGCTTCAGTGCTTACAGGGAGCTCAAATTCTGTATCTCTAGAACTACACAGCTGTGGTATTATGATCTTATATAGATCTTATATCCTCTTATATCCATCAGGACAGAGGATGGCAACATAACTGGGCTCTCTTAGAGTCGTAGGGAAATTGTCTGCCTCATTTCTTTCAGAAAAGCAAATAAAGCCCTTTATCCTTCAATTCGAGGGAGAGGAGAGAGCTGGAGGAGGCCTCCCTGAGAGTGAGATCCTCGTCACTCTACTTCAGGTGGGAGATAGTGAGATGACCCTATATTCTGGGTTAGGTGCATGCTACCGGAGGAGAGGAAATGCCAAGATAGAGAGGCCTCACTTTCTTTCCCTTGAGAGAGGGGTGTGGTGGGCCCAGCTGCCAGTATCGTCTGGCTGTCCATGCATGTGCACCCACTGACAAAAACTTGCTTCATCCAAGCTCTTCCTGGCTGACCTTCCAGCCCAGACACGGTCCCATAGGTACCCCTAGTCCTTGGGCTCTGAGCTAACATACCCACTACTTTCACTTAATTTTATCACAGGTTGAGAGGAAAAAAGGAATGAGACAGAAAGAATGCCAAAACTCCAAAACATGAGGCCAGCTCTAAAGATATAGAGCTAACTAAGGAATCAATTGAAGAGAAACATGGACTCACACTCTAGGGTGCTTTAGGGGAGGCAGCAGTATAGATTGAAAAAAGGAGGCTATGAGGTAGCTCTGGGGCCTAGAAAAAGAGAGTTCCTAAACCAGTTAAGTGGGGTAGTTAGTATTTGAGCAGATGTTCGTGCCACAGCAGCTTGGGTCACCATAACCCAGTGCCCTCATCACTCCCTCTCCACCTGCTGCTGTTCCGTTGCTACACCCTGCTCATCTCTGACTTTCTGGGGTTTGTGGCGAGTCTTCGTTGGAAAGTGCAGATGGGTATAGGGGCAAGGACTGGGGGTAAATACAATATTATCTATCATATTCACCATGGCTCGAGACACCATAAGTAAGAGGGATTGATGGTTTTATGATCACCATGGCACTGTTGTGTTAGAATGCAAATGCTGTTGTATACATCATGATGTGACAAGTTAACACTAGGATTGTTAACACTGAGCTGTGTAAGGAACACTTCGTATGAGTGAACAAAAAGATTATTGAATAGAAATACAAGCTATTCAGTTGGCAGGCCTTCAGAGAGTTTGCACATGTGCATAACCAAGGAGTGACTGTGTCAACTTGGGAAGTTACCCAAAAAAGGCAAAAGAAATACTATGTGCAGCAAGTCTACCCCACGTGATGAACAACCTCAGAATCTATCGAATGGAAATACATGGTAAGTGAAATCACAGTACCTGACAAAGCACATGGTATCAGTCTAAACCGATAGCAGTGTCCAGGCCCAGTGTCCAGGCCATGGTGAGAAACCAGGGATGTAGGATAACAGAAGCTGCATAGGGAATGGCATATGCCAAGAAGATGGGCTGGAAGAGTGTAAGCAAAAAAGATTTTTGCAGAACTTGACTGACAGCGATCTCTCTGTCAGAACTACTTCTTTTAAAGAGTGCCAGTTCAAGTCACAGAATGGCGACCCAGAAGCCAGCAGTGTCCAGGCCATGGTGAGAAACCAGGGATGTAGGATAACAGAAGCTGCATAGGGAATGGCATATGCCAAGAAGATGGGCTGGAAGAGTGTAAGCAAAAAAGATTTTTGCAGAACTTGACTGACAGTGATCTCTCTGTCAGAACTACTTCTTTTAAAGAGTGCCAGTTCAAGTCACAGAATGGCGACCCAGAAGCTGAGCTGAGGGTCACAGCAGCAGCATACTAGGAGGGTAACCATTGCCTTGATTCATAATCTGCCGTGTTTGCATTAACTCACAACACATTTGGGGACTCAGCTGGACAGCATACCAAATGCCCAGCAGAATTCCTAAAGGCACCATTGGCCCAGAGGGTCCCTTATTAATAAATATTATGGCACAAAATATGTGTTTATCCAGGAAAGCGTTATAGGGACAGGATACTAGCAGAAAAGAAGATACAGTTTAAAGTTCTATGGCAGTCGAAAAATGTTTGGTTTTTTTTGCAGAAGAGATGTAATCCAATTTCCCCCTTATTTTGATAGACTAAACTCTAAGCTTCAAGCACGTGGAAGCCAAGGACAAACTTTTTAGGGCAACGAAGAAGAGAAAAAGGAGCCTGTGTGTACATACACGAGGAGCGGTACCATGGGGATTGTGTCCACATTATAATCAGGGCCTCCTGGTGTGGTCATCAGGAACCCTGACTCACTTAAGCAGATTCTCAGGTACAAAGGGCTCTAAGCTTTCCTCTAGATAATGCTTAGTTTCAATCGATCATCTTTTCTTCACAAGGTATGTAAAACCTAGCTGATTTTGACTGGTAGAAGAGGCCTTGGGAGAGGCTTGGAAAAGAGCAGGATCAAAATTCAGGTGAAGACCAGACTTGTAGTTTTTACAGCTGCTGGTGAAACATCTCTTTTGACCTCCTCTTTGGCCCTGAAGCTAAATCGAGGAGTCAGCATTATGCACTTGAGTTGCTGCTCCGGTTGGGTGGTAGAGTTTTAGGAAAGCTTTTGTGGTTTTCTTTTATCTTTTTATTTTCAAATAAGGAGTCGATCTAAGTGAGACTATTGTGAAGAGTAAGTCATCCATGGCTGTAACATATCAGCATCATCAGATGGGATGTGGGAATGCAGGCAATTTATAAAACCGTTGTGGCAGCTTCTGTGACCACAAGGGATGATGTTGGCTCGATTTAGCATTTTTAAACTTAAGTATTCACCGCATGCCAATGTATGTAGGTGTGTTCTCTCTATTGAAGCTGTTCATTTTGGAAATCCAGAAGGATGAGGCATTATTTCTTTAAATAAAATATTCCCTTTCATTACATCTGTATCTTAGTGATCCCTAAAGCAGAAATTCAGTTCAAATGTTAAATTCAGTAATATACCAAACACTTACTATACAACACATAGTAAGTGTGGAGCTTACTGTGTAACTTTCTGTGGAAACTGAAGATGAAACAGATCAAGGATCCTTGCTCTCAAGGGGTTTATAAATTAGGAGGAGCATAAAGGAAGTATCCACACAATCATGGAAAAAGAGAGAACACATGAAATAACTCAAGAGAGGTAAATGGGAAGGAGAGATTATATCCTCAGAGAGGAGTTTTGCTTTGGAGATACAAATTTTGGAATCACGAGCACATATGTGGAACGTAACACCACAGCATCAATGAGATCGCCTAAGAGATACAGCATCAATGAGATCGCCTAAGAGATACAGAAGGGAAGGGGGACCCAGGCAAGAGCTCTGGGAGCTCTGTAGTTAGAAGCAGACAGAAGAGGAAGAGCCAGCAAAGGAGACTGAAAAAGAGAGGCCAGTGGTGTAGGGGGAAATCAGCAAAGTGCAGGACCTCAGAAGCTAAACGTAGAAAGACTTTAAAGAAGGAATTGGTGGCCAACTGCGTGGTACACTGGTGAAAGGCTGTATGATCATGAGCTACTAATTCCTGTTTCCTCTTTATCTTAAACTGGTACGTCAATGAGGGCCCATGTTTATTTTGCTCACACTATGTACTCAATGTTTGGCACAGTGTTTGGCACAGAGTAGGGCTCAAGACATATTTGTTGTGCTCTCTTCAACAGCACATATACTAAAATTGGAATGACACAGAGATTAGCGTAGCCCCTATGCAAGGATGACACCCAAATTTGTGAAGCAGTCCATATTTTTAGTTTGACTCAAATAAATTCTTATATATATATAAGAATATATAAAATATATATATAAAGAGATAGACTTGTCACGCAAAAGAAGGAAGAAATAAAAGCCAGTCTGAGGTCTTTATATTTAATTCAGTAGGCAAAGAGTAGTATCTGAATTAGTATTTTCAGATGCTTTACATAGAGTGTGATTTTAGGAAAAAATTCAGGCCTCCTTTTGGAGGCCTGTACAGACTTGATGGCCTCATGCATACCTCTTCTCAACATCATTAGGTGTCCTTCAATCTGGGTGCACAGAAATGAGGACACAGCAAGAATCCATCTGGGTGATTCTCTCATAATCCTTTAGGGCCATGTTAGCCACTAGAAACTCATGAGATGTGAATGGTTGTGCCATTATAGAAATAATTCCGTGATGCCAATCATGGGTTAAGTAGGTAGACTTACAGCAGGCATTTTCAGAGCATTTAATATTTTAATAAAAAATTGTGAATAGTAAGAGAGGGATATTAATATAGTATATCGCCAAACTTATTTGACCATGGAAGTCTCTTTAATTGCTAAACAATTATTAACATAATGAAGGATAGTGAAATGCTAAAGAGCAATTTGGCAAATGTTACCCCAGAGTTTTGCAACAATTCTAAGAAGAAAAAAATTATACCAATTGCCTAAGAGAAACTCCCCATATTGGATACTAATTATATGGGCAGAGTAAAGGGTATGGGAGGTTGTTTTATTATCTGAAGTAATTGATCTCTCCTTCCATGTGAGAGGATTATCATTTCCTGCCTATTGCTATGTGTCTTGTAGTTCCTTCTGTGGGAAGTGTGTAAGTCCCTGCCCACTCGATTTTGAGCTAGGCCATGGAAGGGCTTTGACCAAAGAATGAGAGTGGACATGATATGTGCCATGTCTGAGCGGAAGCTTTAAGAAGCATCTGGAGTTTTTGCCAGCAGAAACTTTTCCTTCTGCCGTGAGAACAGCGTGCCTCAGAGATTTGTGAGTTATCTTTCAGCCTGGCTTCTGGAATGAGAAGACACAGGAACGAGGCTTCAATTCAAGTCACCTTGTGGCCACCAACTTGTATTGAAAACAGAAGCAAAAAGTAAATATTCATTGTTTAAGACATTGAGATATTGGTGCTGTTTGTTTCCACAGCAGAAGTGACTGCTACAAAGAGAAAATGTGGAAGGCCAATATGACAATGACAGCCGTTTCTTCCCAGAGCTTCCAGAAGAGAGACAACTCCAGAGAAGCAAAAAATAGAACAGCTGCATTTATAGATGAATTTTTTATACTTCACAGGAGAAAAGTTGCACTCTTGCTTAGACTAGAAACAACTCCGTGAACTGAAACAACTCGATCAGCCTAGATGAAGATTTATAGGTTTAGTGCAGGCTATAAGACGCTGGAGTACCTGAGAAGAAATCTCAATATTTCAAACCGAATGAAATCAAAGAATACCCAGAAGTGAAAATTTATGGCCAGCCCCAGTGACATTATTTGCCTCCGTATAGAGCACATTACTTTCTTAACAGTCTCTGCAGATTTCCTCACACCTCCCATTAGTAGGATGAGGAGGAGGGTCAGTGTCCAGCAGCACCAAATTCTGGAAAATCTCAGGTTTGGGAAGGCTCTTAACTAAGAAAAAAAGTTAAAGGGAGTGATCATTATCCAGGGAAATAATGTTCTCCTTTCCGCTTCGCTTTTCTTAGTTCTTTATCTCTCAATCCATGTCACTACCTTTTAGCTGGTCTTTTTCTGTGGTGTGTATAGTAGTAGCATTTTAGAAATCTTGGCACTTTCTTGGCAGGGAATTTACTACATCTGTGTCCAGGGAGCTCTTCTAAAATCTCTGATGGACATTAGCTTCCTCACAAAAAGAGATTAATTGTGTCTAGTCCAGGTTCGACATTTTCCCATCAGTTTTCAGTTTGTTTGTTTGTTTAAACTGAGAACATCATACTCAAAAGGCTGTGTGTGTGTGTGTGTGTACACGCGTGTGTGTAACTGTTGAGGGTGCTCATCTTCCTTCCTGCCTCATCTTAAGAAACCTCCAAGCATACATTTCTTCAGGAGGGCAAATATTTTCTCTGTTATGAGCTCACATCACCTCCTTGGAGGAGCCTTTCCCAGCTCTATGCCATCACTTCCCACTCTACGTTCTCATAGCTGTTTGCTCCTTCCTCTGTTGCTAAGTCTCTATTTTCATGTCTGTTTTGCCTGCTAGAAAGAGCACCTTGAGGACAGGAATTGAGCTTTGGTTGTTTTTGTAACTCAGCATGTGGCACAGCCCCAGGAATATTGTACACACTCAGTAGATATTTGAGGGATGAGATATGTGTCCCCATAATTACAGACTTGTGTATTTTAATATTATAGCTACTGAAAATATCCATACAAAATCCAAAACACCCAAAAGAGCTCATCATATGCCCAGCCAGGCATCACTGAGAGAATAATAATCGTATCGATCCTCTGATTTTCTTATAGCTGGCCAGCTTTTCTGAGTACATTTTGCTCACCTACACTGGAGTTCCTGTATGGGGAACTGGCTCAGAAGTGTGGAGGATTCTCTGACACTCTCAGTCATCCTGTGTGCCCCCAAATGGGCTCAGACAGGTAGACAAAAGGTAGAAGTCATTGGCCTCCGTGAACCCTTGGCTTTTAGCTTACTCAAAAACGAGAATATGGCAAGGCTTGGAGCCATACCGCAGCTGTGAGTCAGTGATGATCAACAAATTCTGGGAAATCCTGGAATCTAGGAGAGTCATTCATTTATTCATACAAATACATTTATGCTATTTGTCAGGTTCAGTAATAAACAAAAACGGATATAGTCCTTGATCTCTCAGAGCTGACAAACTGGTGAGAAAATATACATTAGTCAAATTCATGAAATATTATTACAAACTGATATAGAAAAACATATTTAAAAAACTAAAAAAAAAAAATCTGAACTTGCTGGGAGATCTTAAGATGTCTCCGAGGAAGTGATGTGTAAACTTTGATCCAAAACATGAGTAGGAGTTAAATAGGTGATGAGGAGATAGGAGAAGTCCAATAGGGAGAGAATAATATACATAAACACTCCGGGGTCGGAGGCTACCTGGTGCATTCAAGCAACTGGAAGAAGACCTGTTTGACAGGAGCATGGAAATTGAAAAAGAGAGGAGCAGGAAGTATTGGCAGTAGAGGTGAGAAAGGATCAGACAGTGCAGAGTCTTAGAAGCCACTTTAGGGATTTTGATCTTTTGTCTATAAGCACTGGGAAGTCATCAAAGGATTTTTAATTAGGGGTATAGCATGATCATATTTGTATTTTGAAGAGATCTCTTGGCTGCTGTGGGGTGGACTTATGTCCTTCCTTCGTAGGTATTGTTTCAGAATGTGCAACAAATACCAATTTCTAAAGTTATGGGAAAGCAGATTTTAATTTGGTATAAGAAATGTATTTTTTAAAAGAACTGTCCTTGAAAATATTTGAAATGAAACCGGATGATTATTTATTCAATCAATATTTAATGAACTATCAGTTGAATAGAGAGATTCTTGCTTGACCTTTAAGATCCCTCTGGCTTTCAAATTCAGTGATTCTAATTTTCTGTTTAAAACCTTAATTGTTCAGAATGAAGGTCACAACTTGGATTTCCTTGAATCCATTTCCTTATTCGGGCCCTCCTTGCGCACTCCCTGTGCACTTTCAGGATGCTGTAATGAGTAATGTCTTCAAGGTTGTGATGCCTTCAGAATATACAATGCATGATAGAAATTACATTCTCGTCCTTGGCTGTCTGTCTTCTGATGCAGAGGAAGAGGGGTACTCTGATTTTCCTTTTTCCTCTTGCTCTCACTCCGTATCATGGTTGCATGATGTTGGATGACCTGTTTGTAAGTGTAGCCAGTCTATGGCACTGTTTCTGGACACAAGCCTTTGAGCAATGATATCTTCCATTTCTAGTCACACAGGATGCCTAAGGTCTCTTTGCTTGGGAGCCAGGAGGAAGCAACATGCCTATTATGCCCTGATAAAGATTTTTTAGAGGATGGATGAACACTCTCTGGGATTTCTCTTCACTGCTCTGAACTCTTTCAAGTGAGCGCTTTTTCATCATGGATAAAAGTCACACAAAGCAGAATAATGCCAATAACAATAATATGAATTTAATCAACCCTCAATTTCCTTTACCAATGCAGTGGGAAAGAACATAGACAATTCAAAAATATTAGCTGACATTCATGTCATTCATTTGGCTTTGAGATTTCTGCAGAAACACTTGGTCCATGTTCATTCTATGCTAAAGCCTTTGGTGTCCTGATCTCCACCTATGTTTGAGGCTCCAGGTCTTACATAAAAGACTTTCTCAATTACATGCTGGTAAGATTGGGGAATTTCTCCAGGTCTTTAATTTCAATTCTTGTCTCGTTTCCATTTTCATTGTTTTGTGTCCAGACTCAGATTACTCTTGAGTTGCTTTCCCCCACGATGCTCCTTTACCTTGGCTCCAGGTTCTGTTTTTTCATGCTCACCCCATGCCCATCTCATGTCCTGAGTTGTCCTACCCCAATATGGGCAAGACCTTCATGTTATCATCTAACCTGCAGGAGGAACGAATAACTAGAAGCGCACACTCTCCTCTTCTGTCCCTGTTTTCTCTGATCAGATTTAATCAGACACTAATAATTCATGTTCTTTGTTTCCGGCTTGATCTTGAGTTGAAGGTATATGGCACAATGTCCTGGGTTGCAGTGGATAATCAATGAAGCTCACACGATGTAGTAAAAAGTATGTTGGCTCAATAAATATTAATTTGTTTCTTCTTTTTTTAATATCACGAATATGTTTTATTTGTCCCCATGAAAATTCTGAATTTTAAACAGATGTTGAGCTAGGGGCTCATACCCATCAGCCTGTTCAACTTTAGCACCTATCTCAACCCCAGGAGCTTCTCCAGAACTGCTACCTTCACCATGAAGCTCCATGAGTTTTTCCAATTCAAACTTGGG